AAGCTTAGATTCTCCACATTTTCCAACTTTGATATAAGGTGACGAATTCTTGACTCAACCATACCCGACCTAACAAACAAATAATGATAATTTATAGCATTATTAAATTAGTTGTAAATAGTGACAAAGATTTCATTCATAAATATGCAAACCATTTGAGTTGTCTTTCCTGGGAATCCGATGTTGCTATTATTTGCAAATAATATCGGTATCTTTGAAAGAAATCATGTTTTGCAAAAAGATCTGACCATTTTCCAGCTCCAACCATTACTTTATCTGCAATGTCGGCCGCTAAAAACATAATTCGTTATAATATAGATATAAATAATCAAGATATCTGCAACCAATAAAAACTTACCTCTTATAAATTCTTCCTCTATTATTTTTTTAGTAGACTGAGTTACATTATGTGTTGCACACATCGAAGGGTATGCCGGAGTAATAATAGGCATTAGGTGGAACCGATCACCATGATATACCTATTTAAAAAGTGTGTCAGCACCGTCTAATATTGAAAGTGATAAGCTAATTCATCTTGTGGTAGCAGCGAAACCATAATGTCACACTAGGTAAAGTCAAATTTATCACACCAATATTTGAAAATTAGTTAAAAAATTTTAACCATGTAAAAATCTACCTTTGGATTCCATACTCTAACTTGAAGGGGACCATCCTCGATTGGCTTTAATAGGACGGGCTGTGGCCATTCCCTTTTTTAGGAGGAGGAACAAACGGGATTTCGTGAATTTTTAATGCAAAAACAAGATGAATCTCAATTTAACTCACCATTTATACATAATCCGGAAAAATTTCGATACAATCGCACCAGCTATTGCATTCGGGTATAGTTGACAAATACGAGCCACTAACATCGCCCACGCAACTCCTCCTAAAAAGCCCATCACATTAGAATATATCGCACGCCCTACAAATTTTCTATTTTTAGTAACTAGTTAATCATGGCCGAAGTGTAATTCCAAAAAAGACCGACTTTTCGCCCAAAGCTTAATACATCTT